CCGACTCACCAGCCACACATCTACAGGCCATCAGCCAACACGTCACAGGCTGTTTTTGCCCCATTGAGAGTGAAGGTTGCTATTATGTTGGTTCAGTAATGCAGCACTGTCCACTATGGGGAGCCAGGTAGGAAACCGGCTTTGTACAACGTTGCTACACTGTGTAGTCAGCTTGTGACCGGGATGGTTCCCAATGCAGAGGGCTCACCCCTCCATTGCCCTTGGAAGAGTAGTTGGCATGTGTGCAAATACACAAGCACAGGACCTGGGGAAGATAGGGAACCACAGCAAAGACAGCCCTTGGCTCCGTGTATAGCTGTGTTTTAAAATTAAATGGACATGTGTGCCTGTGGATAAAGTGAAGGTTCCTATAGCCAGGATTCTCACCTGGCCCTGGCACTACACGTGTGGGGAATATGTTGCTATTGACTCTATATAAAGAGCTCCGCCCAGTGCTCTGGGCGACATGGTGGCACGGCTGCACTGCTGCCTAAGAGCAGAGACTGGAGTGGCAGCAGCACCAACGACAGAGACTGAGACGGCTGCGGGGACAGAGAGGCCCAGAGGCAGAGACCGGCTTGCATGCAGACTCGCTCTGAGTACACAGAATTCTAGTGATTGACCTGCCACCATGGGGAAAGAGTTGGTTATAAACCCTTTCACCCCAAGAATGTTCCATTGTCACTCTCTGGTCTCACTGAATCCGTAATGAACTTGCCCAGACTGTAACCCACTGGCAAGACATCATATTTTTGTTCACAGTGCATTTACCAAAAAATAAAAATAAAAATTTACGTTTTCTTCTGGCAATGGTGTTCATATAGATGACTAGTCAGGGCTCATGTGTTATGTGCCACCAGAACCTGCATTCACCAGCTCAAAAGGCCAGAAGGCCCAGCATCAAACGAGGTGCAATCAGGCCCCTCTCCTCTGCTGGGCACCAACCCAAGCCTCTTCCAGCACCGCCACAGAGACCTGGTTGGTCTGTCTTTTTTTCTTTTGTGTTCAATAATTTAATTTTTTCCTTTCAAAAAGCAGAAAATAATCTTATGGGACAAGGAAGGAGACAAGTATCACTTCTGCCTCTACCTGGATACCGATTATTTTGGTTTTCATCAGCCCTTGCCCTCAGACTTGGTCTGAAACACATTGGCATGTGACTTTGGGCATAGTTAGACTCCTTGAGCCTGTTTCAGGCCCTGTAACATAGACAACAGCTCCCACAGCTCATGCACCTTTGATAAGGATCTGCAGGGACTCACGGGGATGGTGCCAGGGAGGGGCCCGGGGAGCCGTGCCACAGGCCTCATGCAGCAGCTACAGCAGGGCAGTTACATGCTGGAAAACCAGCAGGGGAGGGGCGCTGGCTCCAGGACCTAGGGGACCAGGGCATCCCATCAAATGGAAGCCATGTGCCCAAGATGGGGCTCCTTTTCTGACAGTTTTGGAGAGAATGTAACTGCTAATGCCCAGGTAGCAACTCCCTAGGAGGCCTGGTCCTACACATCAAGTAAGACTCCCCTGGGAAGCAATGGCACACTCTAGTCCCCCATCCCAGAGGGGCTCAGCGGGGACGCCGAAGCCTGGGCTCAGGCCCTCACTTCACTACCACACTCACCGTTACACGCTGATGGGATGAAGTCCTTAGAGAATGGCTGTCAGATCCAAGCAGGCGCATAGTCACCAGGGACAGTCACTGGAGGAAATCCGACAGCACAGGCTCCCCGGGCCCCAGCATAGAGTCTGACTACCAGGTCTAAATGAAGCCCACATTTCTAATGAAAGAGTCCAGGCCATTCTGACGCAGGCGGCCTCAAAATCTTTCTCAAGAGAGACTGCACTGGGGCCTGTGACTCAAAGCGCAGCCTGCAAAGGGAGGGTATCACCACCACGAGAAACACAGGCTCCCAAGGCCTGCCGGGACGTGCTGAGTCCAGATGCACACCTGACCAGAGCCCCCAAGCCATCCATCAGCACACTGTGGGGGCCAGACACAGCCCTGGGGGCCGTTTCCGAGTGTCAGTAAATCTGCCTTCTTTACTATTTGCTATGCCCTCTATGAAACCCATTGTGAAGAAATCAGAATTCTGCACTTTGCTTCAGCTTTTCCTTCCTCAGGGTCTGGAAAACAAATATTAATCACACTTTGGGGAAATAATTGACTGTTTGCAAGATCCATGGTAGTAATGCTACAAAAGAGTTATAAAAATGATTACATGGACTACGTCATTAAATACTTGAAAGGTTTATTATATGCTCATGCCTAATTGAAATCTATGTAAACAGAGTTAACACTGAACATTGTTTACACTTGAAAATATAAAATATAAAACCAACAAAGTACTTCTCATAGTAAACTTTCTAAACTTTACTTTTTTTTTTTAGCTTTCTCTGACACCATATAAAATGGAACAGAAGTAGATAAAAAGAAAACTATTAGGTTAAATTTTTTAAAGTTTTTAATTCACCTATTGTATGTTAGTATTTCCAAGACCATTCTGCCACGGAGAATGAACCGCATCACACTCAAACCACGCGATCGCCAGCCGTCTGAAAGCTTGAGGACCAGGCAGATGCACGTCAGGGAGGGGACAGCTGGAGGCACAGGCCTGCAAGCCTTCCAGGCCCCACTATCCCCGATGACAAGGCCAAGGACAGGATGGCTGGAGAACAGGCCCAGGCCAGCATGTTGGAGCAGCTCACGGGTCTAGCCTGCCTGAAAGTCACAGCAATTCACACAGGGCGAGGAAGATCTTCAGATAGAGGGAGGATGATTAGGAAGCGGGGTGGTCCTCCCCTCGGATGCTTCGATACTTTGCCATGTCTTCTGGAAATACTTTAGAAAGTTCTTGAATCAACAGGTTTTTAAATTTCTAAGAAAAATATACTTTGTTTACTTTGTGACCCATCACCCAAGTTAAAGAATACCCCGTGCATCCCGAGCCCCAAACTCAAAGAGCAACAACTGCACTCTCCCCTCCCCCAGGCAGGTTTCCCTCTGCAGCCTGCTCACCTCCCAACAGCCCGCAGGTAGCGCCTGCAGCTTCATTACAGGTAAATAATAGTAACACATGTTCAAATACTTCCTCCCTCCTGCTTCACATGTTTAAAAAGCTCCTCTTGTAAGGAGCCAGCTACACAGGTGGGAATGATTTCTGCAGACAGCACATGTAACAGGAACCTTCAAATAATATTTAAGCAAGCAATTATTAACTCAAACCACATCAAAATCACTGTGTGCAAACAGCTCAATCAAAGTTTTTGGAGCACCTGGCTACTCCATATGCCACAGCTTCTTGATCTTACTTTTTTGTTTTCATCCGACCTTAAAAGTACCTATCTGCCAGCATCTCAAAACCTTTTCTTATAAGCTACACTACAAAAAGCACTCTGAGCATAAACAGAGATACAAGGCTTATGTAAGTTAAGAAAACATTCCCAAAGGAGACTGCACTTCAACACTACATAACATAACCTTCAGCAGTGTAAATACACAGCCCGCTGGACAAGTGAAGGCCATGGAACTGGGCCTGGAGATGTACCGACCTCAGGTAAGAGACAATGACAAAGGCAGCAACAGATGCGACCTGAAGGCAGATGGCATGGTCCCCAGGCATCCCTGCACCCAGAGGCACTGGGGCTGGCCACCTCAGGAGCACATTACACATGACTACAGCTTGTTCACATGGAGGGGGTTTCTGCAAACAAGCACAGCTTGCTACTGATCAAAGCTGTGCTATATCCCAAGGATGATGTGAGTTCAACAGCAACTCAATTCCAAGCTGACAAAGCAGAAATGAAGCTGTGCATGATTACGACAAACCCCACCTCCAGAGCAGGACACCTGTTGGCAGTACAGTCACCTGGGGGAAGAGGGAGGATGCTGGGAAGCCCTGCAACACCAGGGCAGCATGTCACAGGTATGTCACTGTCATCCTGACAGAGCCTCCCCATTCCTCCTCACACTTGGCCAGAGTGAGAGAGACTGCTGAGCCCCAAAAGGTCCCTGTGTGGCAGATCAGACACCAGCTAGGCACACCTGCAGGCTGGGCCCCAAGGTACAGAACATGTGTGCCCCCAGATCCTAGAGCTGAAGCTGTGGTAGCGTCAACAGGACAGAGGGAGAGAGAGAAAGGGTGACAACACTTACAAAGAAAGCAGCTGCCGCAGAGGCCGGTCCTCCAGGCCTCTCTGGGAGGTGAGATTCCAGACCCCAAATGGCAGTCAGGGAGCAAAGAGATACACAGTGTTCTAGACAGGGGCGGCAGCATGAGGACAAACAGGAAGGAGAGGGGTTGCTCAATTCCAGCAACAGGAAAAAGGCCAGAGTGGCCAGGCCAGAAGGGACTGGGGGGTAGAGAAGTAGGAAGGGACATTGCATGAGGCCACCAGGAATGGGGGCCATTAACAGGATGGTACCATCCAGCTACAGAGAAAACCACACACAATCCAGTCTGAATATTTCAGCCCATTTAACTAAGAAAAATGCTACAGATGTCAAGTTCAAGATGCAGAGAGCTTTCTAGATCTCATCAAAAGGAACACAAAAGGTAAGTTCTTGGTGGAGAACTATGTGATGAAGGGCACAGTACAATGGGGCCTGGAGCCCACACTAGAGGCAACCCTGAGAAAGAGAAGGTTCAGGGATCCTCTATCCCAAAGAACCACAGGCTAAAGAAGGAACCAGAAAGCATCAAAGTGGGAGCTTAAGATATTAAAGCCTTAAAAATGAAAACAGTCAGTTGGTCAATGACAACTAACAATCCCAAACATTAGCCTGGACTTGCCTAAAAGTAAGGCTGCCACTTCGGCACATGTCATGCTGCCACACAGTCAGCTGATACCCAGCTTTATGTACGACGTGGCAATTCAGAAATCCCAACCCAATGCCGTGACACAGAGACGTTCTACCAAGTACGGAGAAGAATGACATCAGCCCAAAGCTCCCTACACTGGCCCCTGGGTGCAGCATCACTTCCTGCTCCACGGGACAGCCTTACCTTCATTGTGTCAATCTTGCCTTTAACTTGCTCATTTTTGGCGAGGGCCCTCTCCAGGCACTCCTTGGTGTACAGCTGGGGGTTTCGGCCTTGATCTATATACCTACAAACATGAAATATCTCAGTTAACTTTCTCATGGCCGATACCTATTCTCAGTTTTCTTATGGGAAAAAAGTCTGGCTACATACATGGAATTTCAAATGCCCTGTTTAGAAAAACTATGTCCCAGAACCAGGTGACTTAGGATTCCTTCATTTACACAAGTATGGATAACCTGATCTCATATTACTTCTAATAATGATTAGCTCATGAAATCAAGAAGCGATCATTTATACAACAAGCAAGCCTCACAGCCATGCCACTTCAGTTTCAGCATTTGTGCTTTCCAAAAGGCTTCAGGGCCATTACCTTTTGTCCCTCACAACAGGTCCACCTGTGGGGAGCCCCTTTGTAGAGACTGGACCTGGACCCTTAGGGGGTGAGGAGCGCAGCAGTTGAGTCCCGCCTCCCCCAGGATTATTTACAAACTGTTTCACCACTTTGCGGGGTGGGGCTGATACTACTTTCCTAGGTACACTTAAGTAACATAAATTTAACAGAGAGATTCACTCCAATTACTTCTAAACCATAAAACTGATTTCTTGAAATAGTTAATACTCATCCCCGATATATCTTCATAGTCCCACAGATACCACTTAGCACACTGCCTAGATGGAGAGCCCCAGAGGGAGGCTATCTGCCTACTTCTGTACCCTGGAGACCTTCATACCACTCAGCTAAATTACACTATTCATTTCAAGGAAACAAAAACACCACCACGACACTGAGTCCAACGTATGCTTTTTATGCTTCAGTACCAAAAAAAAAAAAAAATCACTTCAGATTAAATTACTGTTAATGGCATAAAAATTGGCCTTTAATTATGACAGCAAAAAATAAATCACAAGTTGTAGAAATTCCATTTTATTGCAACGTTTTTGAAATGATGGAATTAATGAAAAAAATTGTGGTTAGTTCTACATAAAATCAGTCCACTAGTGGGAGAAAAAAACCATGACAGGCTCAAGTGTCCTAAATAAACAATGGTTTCAACAGCAGTATCATTCCGGTCAGGCCCTTCCAGACCCAAGGTCTGAATTCCACTTCTGCCAAAACACCACCAACCCCCAGTACTGGACAGAAGGGCTGAGGTTTACATTTTTATCTTTGCTACAGACACACTCTATCTGAAAGATTGGGAGACTACAGCCTGCGTGTCCCATCTCTGCAGAATGCTGTAAAGCTGTGTTGTAAGAAGGGCTTGTATCTCTGACCTTTTGGGATGAAAAACCAAGATAACTTGTCTCTTTACCATTAAAGGCAGAGAGTACTTAGAATACTCTTGCTGTTGGGAGCCAGCTCTGGGAGAGAGAGGCTGCTTGGCAGAAAAACTGGTCCTAGTCAAGGAAGAGCAAGCTCAGGATTTTGGTCTTAACTCTGATACTAACGAGCTGAACAGCCCATTACAGCTACTTACTAGTTCTCTCACCTATGAAATCAGTGTGATAAAATCTGAACTGAAATAAACTAAGTTTATTTCGTGGCTATGTCCTCTGGGCCGTGATGCGGACAGATGCAGACAACTGTCCCACAGAAAACAGTGAGCAGCCCTCCTACTTTACTTATCCTAAGAACCATTTCCTTTTCCAACAGAGCAGACACTGCCATCGCCCAGAACCAGCACTCCAGGGAAGATCGGGAGACATAAAACCAAATTACTTCTCAGGCTGTTTCTGGCTATAATTTTTAAAAATATAGCCCACATAAGACTTTACCACAGGAAAAAAGGAAGTTCCGTAGTTGTCCTTTTGTCTAAGCAAGAATCTGAGAGCCTGTTTTGCTTTTCACATATTTAATAAGCCCATATTCACACAGACCTCTTTCCCAACAACACAACATTAATATTTTTAGTTGCTTAATCTTATTAGAAGATCAGTTCCAAGAAGGCAGGTATTTTTGTCCATTTAATGACTGACATACCCAGCACCTAGGCTGTGCCTGCCACACAGCAGGCACTGAAATACAACAGCACAACATGAGAATTGTGCTTGAACACCACCGAGGATGGTACTTACTCAAAAACTTCTAAAGGCACAGTGATATCATGAAGTTGCTGTCTGCACTTATCAATATCCTGTAAACCTGTAACAATAAAATTCCTGGAGGACAAAGAAAATATGGGGCATCTGGTTAATTCACATGATGATAGCATGTTAATTCAGACGACAGCATGTACACCACCCACCTGGCCAACTAGGACCCACACACAGGCATTCCTGACACAAGCATAGGTTATCTGTGGCTCACAGCTCTTTGGTTAGCTACAGAATTCCTAGCAAAGTTTTGGAGTTACAGAATACCCTCGGATATTTGTTGGTTCTCTTTATAAACTAGAAATTGCCAATATTGGGGGTCAGGAACCAACACCTTGGAGAATCTGATGAAAACTGTCAACATCCTCTAAAAAAAAAAATATCCTGACCTGTACATAATTTTATGTATTTTCAGAGAACCTGTGGGGCAGTGAACTCCACTTTAAGAACCTATTCTCACAAGTCTGGTAGTTCAGAAAGCCACTGCTGCCTGGTTTAATTTTAGCTCCCCTCTGGAGCCTCCTGAACCACTGGGCTAGTCCCCAGCACTGGGTACGGAACTGCCGAAGCAATCACGTTCATGTGCCTGTAGCCCCTATAAAGCTGTAAGCCCTTCCCCAGGGCGATCTATTTGTGTCAGCCTGTTGGACATTCCAGGCGCTAGCACCACGACCAGCAAGCTCAAGGCTGCTGACCAGAAAAAAATAGTGAACGTCCTGGGGCCATTCCCACAGCCCCCCAAATTCCTCCACATTCAGGCCTCCGCAGCGGGTGGTCTCGGAGCCCGCCCCTTCCCGGATCCCCGTGAGTGCATCTCCGTTAAGCCCTCCGCCCCGCTCGGCTCCCCAGAAGGGCTCGGCAGGGAACCGCTGGGAGGAAGTCACACGAATGCGGGTTCAGGCTTGGGTCAGGAAGCATTATTTCCTCCGAACCGCACTGTCTGGCCGTGACAAAGTCTCCGAATGGGCCCTCAAGGAAAAGTCCCCGCGAAGCAGGGCGGGCAGGGGCCTGGCCTCTGCGCACAGCCTGGGGAGCGAGGGCCCCGGGGGAGCTAGGCGCCGGGGCGGACGGCTGCGGCTAGTTCCCTCCGCGGACCCTTCCTCCCGGCTTCAATCCCAGCCCTGCCCCGCACCGGCACCCCGGGAGACACAGCCCGATGTGACGCCACTCACAGCTTCTGGTTGAGCCCGGCCTGGCTGCTGGGCTGGAAGTCGCTGACGATGATGCCGAGCTGCCGGATGTTTTCCACGAACTTCTCCAGGTGCTCCTCCAGGTGGTCGAACTTCTCCGCCATGGCCGCGCAACCCTCACGGCGCCAGGCGTCGTCCGGCACCGCCGCTGCCTGCTTCCGCCGCGGCTCCCGGCTACTTCCGCTTCCTCTGGCGGCGGGGCGGGGGGGCAGGGGCGGGGCATGGGCGGGGCCTGCGCGGGGTATGCGCGGGGCGGGACCGGGGGCCGGGCCGCCGGGTGTCGGACCTCGAGACTCCCCTGTGTGTCCTGAGGGCGGCGGGAGCCGGCGGCGGGCGTCTGCGAGACCCGTTCTTCCTCTGCTGACCCTGGGCAGGGTCCCCAGCCTCTGAGCCTCTGTTTTCCTCCAAAAAATGGGGTGAGTCCCAACAGCCGATTAGAAGGTGTGCTCCTGGTTAAGGTAGAACAGACTAACTTCTCCCCAGGATGAAAATGACTGTTTTTTTTTCTGAATATACAAATTACAGGTACTCACTGCAAATAAAACAATACGGAATAACAATGAAGAAAGGGGAAAAACACCCCTGAAATCGCAGCCCGATCTTTAAGCTCCTGCACTATTTTACCCCAGGGTTCCGCAGGCCACCACCTGCCCCTCCAGCAAGGGGCCGCTCCCTCAGCCAGGTCCTCCTGGAGCCGCCCAGCCTTGACCCTGACCCTGAAAGGCATCTCATGGGCTTCACACCCGTGACTTTCCCCGCAGGGATTTGCCATCCCCAAATAAGTTAGCAGCCAGGACAACTCAGTGGGACTTGAAGCCTAGTGTCACAACTGAGTCCATCTAGTACTAACTATGCCAGTCCCGCCAGAGGTCTCGGTCACCTCCGTGCTCCCTATGACGCAGCATCTTCACAAGCATCCACCTAGATGAAATTCCTGAAGTCTGCATGAAGAACCCCACCACAGCAGTCCCCCAGCCCCTCAACTGGAGTCCTTGAGGTCAGCACTGGCCTCCCTCTTCCCTCTGGCATGCCATTAGCACCGTCTCCTCCAACTCTTCCTTCTAATCATCTCCCACTCAGCTCTTCCTTCCCTAACTCCTGCCACCTACCTAAGTAGGGCCTTTTCCCCTTCATGCCAATGCTAATAAAACAGCACCCTAAGGGGTATTGCTATCTACAAAGAATAACCTCTTACTTCAAAGAGTTTTTAGTAAACTACTGCTCACTGATCTTGTTAAAATTCCCTTTGATCACATCACTCTGGTGTTTAGAAAACTTTTCTGCCCATTCTTCTAGGCTTAGCCAATATATATGCCTACAGGAGCGTCTCTGGAGTCCTCAAGCCACAGTGATTTCTTCCTTTACTGAATATCATTAATTTTCACTGCCTATGCTTTTCAGTTCCTAGAGTCTTAGGCAAAATAGGGGAGCTCCTTTTCTAGAGGATCTCCAGATCTTCTCCCAGCTGTGACCAGAAATGGGAACCCAGAGAAGGTAATACATTTGTCTGATTCAAGGACTCCACTTGGTGTGCTGGACAGCACTCACATGGGAAGCCTCTGTTCTGCTCTGAATACACAGAAATGTTAGGTGAATACCTTCCTACCAATTTAATGACAGTTAATGTGGGGAGATTTGAAAGCAAGGTAGAAATAAAATGCTTGACAAAAGGAAACAAAAATATAATTGGGGAGAGATCAGAATAGGAAGTTAACAGTTCTCAATTTCAAAAGAAAGAAAGTGATATTGGTGGACCTTAAGCTTTGTCCAGTATTTTCTTTTTAATTTAGGGTTATCTCTTTACTGGAATATATCATTTCCAAACTAGTAGAGGGGATAGAAAATAAGAAAAACACAATCAGTGCAATAGAAGCCAAGAAAAAATAAAACAATAAGTGAAGCAAAGAACAGGTGTGGAAAATAAAAAGCCCCAAAAAAGGATGAAAAAGTAAAGGCAAATATGTTGGCGAACACAATAAATGTAAACAAATTTAACTACGTGCTTAAAAGAAAGACCCTCTCGGATTAAAAGTATTTTCTTCTGTTGTTGTTTTAATGTAACTTATTTTTCAAAGGCACACCAAAATGACATACAGAAAGATGGAAATAAAGGGAAAGGAAACAATAAGGTATGCCCAGTAACCAAAAGAAAGTCATTAAAACATATAAAATTAAAATTAATAGAAATATAGAAATATTTTTTAAAGATAAAGGGAAGACTCCACCAAGATGATATATTAATATTAATTTACAAATAACTACATAGTCTTATATCTAGTACAAAGCTGACAAACTGTGAGGGAACATTCAAAATCCACAATCATAACAGGAAATTTGGGATCTATTCTGATTTCCTATTACTTCTTAAGTGAATTTTTGGTAGTTTCTTTTGAAAACTGTCCACATCATCGAAGCTTTCAAAACATGGACATACAAGTCTCACTGTAACTGAACTATGCTCCCTCACTCATTTATAATATTATTTATTTTCTATCTCTCTCTCTCTCTCTCTCCCCCCTTCTCTCTCCCTCTCCCTCCCTGATGGGATCTGCCAGAAGTATGTCTGTTTTATTCATCTTTTCAACAATCAGCTTTTCTTTACCGTTCATCTTTCTAGCTTCCAATGAAAGTAGAAAGAAGACGAATGAAATTGTTTTCATTTTCATCAGTACCTGTCTTTAACTTTATCACTCCTTTCTGTAGAATTGTTGGGCTTGTGATTTCTCACTTGCTCTTTTCTCTTTCTTTCTTTTTTTTACTTTTTGAGTAGAAATCATTAGTTCCAGGATATTTTTCCTCAAAAAGTATCACTACAGAAGCAAAGCAGAAGTTTGATAAGAAGTGCTTGTCATTCAGTTCCTAATATTTTACAATTTCTTCATCAACTAGCATGACCATATAATGTATTGACCAAACGGAAACATTTTTCACACTGAGTGACAGGAGTGCTAGTCATACTTACAGGGGGATGACAGACATCAGCTGGGGCTTGTCCATACACATTCAGATGTATGTATACCCACAAATTATTTCAAAGAATGTTTTCCTGTGTGTGTGTGTGTGTGTGTGTGTGTGTGTGTGTGTGTGTGTGTGTGTGTGTGAAATGTTAATAGCTTCATTGATTTCTATTGTAATTACATTCAGAAAATCTGGTCTATATGATAGAACTTGGAATTTGCTGAAACGTCCTTTGTGGTCTAATGAATGGTCAAATTTTTATAAATATTCCATTCATGCTTGGAAACAATTTGTTTTCAGGGTTCTCTGTTTCACACAGATCACTTTAATTAATCATATCCTTCAGATCTTCTGTAACTTCACATATCTTTTGCTCCACTTGATTTATCACTTTCAAACCAAGTGGACTTCCTTGCTTCCCTGCAGCAGGGTTCCACAAGCACATAGAAGCAGGCAGAAGCTGGATTACCTTTAATGACCAAACCTCAAATGTCCCACCATGTCACTTCTCCCTCAGTCATGGCACATCTCGATTCTCAGAGAGGGAACATGAACTCCACCTGTCAGTGGAAGAAGTAAGAAGTCACATTTTTGGAAGAGCAGTTGAGATGAGAGATCTTACAGAGCCATTTTTGGAAAATACAACTGTCACACACACCTTGAAAAACATAATGATCTATTGGGCTTTTCCTGAGACCACACCTATGGTTATATACCATAAAACCCATTACATCCCTATATCTGTTAAAGATTAAAGGAGAAAAGCATCTCAGGTAGATTTAAAAATATGCGTTTGATGAAATCCGACCAGATTCATGATTTAAAAAACAAACAAAAAACTCAGAGAAAATTGAGAATAGAAACTTCCTAAATCTAAAAAAGGATAGCTACCAAAAACTTACAGAAGGCATCTGACCTAAGGTGAAACTTTAGACGCATTTTCAGCCAAGTCATGAACACAGCTAGAATCTCCAGTGTCACTGCAGCCATTCAGTTTTGCACATGGACATCAGCCAACGCACAGAAGACCGTGGAAGTAACACTTAGCTGCTCTTCACGTCCTGCCTATTGTCTGCCTTTTGCCATTAAACCTCTATGGGCCCCAAGACTTATTATTAAAATTCCTAGATGTTTTACGACTTTGATTCCCAGCTGTATTTTAGGCATTTTGAAGACAGGAATCTAAACTCACACATCCCCAGAATCCCAAACATATGCCAACTAGCTCAGAAATGGTTATGATTATTTGAAGGGAAAAGGAGACAAACGAAGCAGCAGAAATAAATCAAATGCAAATTTGTCCACTATGGATGTAACTCCCCAGGAAGTCATCCTTTCTGCTGCATGAACCCTGGCAGCAACATGCTTTCCAAGTAAGAGCGGTGGGTGTTTCTGCAGTTTTGATTCATGGCCTCAAGCAGCCATGTCCCCTCCTGTTTTTTCAGGCTTAGTGAGTTGTTCCTTACATACAAAGCCTGGGTAAGGGGCCATTTCTAAGAGCAACTTTGACCACATTAAAGCTCTTCTGAAGGCAGCCTTTGCCCTGCCTAATAATAGCCCGCCTGGGTCTGTTACCATGTTCCCCTTGCTGTCAGTTCCCTAGGCTGCTCTAACAAACTAGCACAGTCTCAGGGCGCTAAACAATAAGAGCTTGTTCTCTCACAGTTCTGGAGGCCAGCAGTCCCAGATTCAGGTGTGGGCAGGGTTGGGTCCTTTGAGGCTGTGGGGAGAATCTGCCGCATGCCTCTCTCCCAGCTCCATGGTTTGCTGTCAATCTGTGGCATTCTTCAACTTGTAGAATATCGTCCTGATCTCTGCTTTCGTGTTCACATGGCGTTTTCCCTTTGTGTGCTTCTGAGTCCAAATTTCTCCCTCCTATTAAGACATCAGTCATACTGGATTAGGGCCATGCTAACAACCATTTTTATCTTGATTACATCTGCAAGGACCCTATTTCCGAATAAACTCACATTCTGAGGTACTGGGAGTTAGGAGTTCCAACATACCTTTTTAGGGGGAGCAATTTGACACCTAACACTTTCCTCTTCTGTTCAAGAACACTAGTCCTGCTTTCTGTAGTGTGGCCACAGAACCATAATTCATGGCCAAGCTGTAATGAGCACAGTTATGGCATCAGTCCCTACATTTTTGTGATTTGTGATCAGTCTCAGCTTCAATTTTCATTTTCATAAACTCTTTCCTTCCCCTCACTTCCTGCTTGCATTGGCTAGAGTAAGAGCAGAAATGCAAGGTTTTAAAGGCTGATTTTTGAAACCATCCCAAATGGAGCCATTGAGGTCCACTGAGTACAAAGGAAATGAAAAAGCATTTCTAAATCACTTATCTCCCAGGCGTCCAAAATTATTGCTCCACGGACTACTGCTCTGTACTAAAAAAAAGCATTTCAAACCTACTGAAACCTACACTGCATTCTCTCTTTTCCTCCCTAAACAGCTCAGCAATGGTTGCCTTCTCTTTACTTAGCATCCTAAATACTGTTGATGTGTTTGTAAGAACTGTTTTAAAATCTAAACACCCAAGGCTCCAAATATCAATGGAATCAGGCTGGAAAAAATCCCACCAAGACAGAAGGTGTACCTGTTAGGACACTGTGTGCAGAAAACCAGCAGAGCTCAGCTGATGGCAGATTCTGTTTCCTGTTTCCCTCTAATGTCGACAGGACCTGCCACTGGGAGATTTCCTAACTTCTAATACTTTGTGACCTTGGAGCCTGGAGACTCCATTTTTTTTTCTTTTTTCACTCACATTATTGTTGCTCCATCAGCTCTTATGGTCATTAGTGATGCCATTTGGAACATTTTTTTGCCATTCATTCTAAGTTATTCTGAGAACCATATTCATCTTAAGTTTTAAAAAAATGCAGCTATCCTACCAACAGGGCAAAACAGCTGGTTTCTGCTTTCTTATTTGTGGATTTTCAGCCCATTAGCAGTTCTAGCAGAAGGGAAGCTTTACAACTCTATTGCTTTGGTGGTGGTTACCATCCTCATCACCACGGTCATGGTCACACTGATGACAGCACCTAGCATCCTACTGAGCATTTAATATAGAAAGTTCACTGAACTTTCAGGATTTATTCCTCATAATCCTGGAAGGAAGCTACTATAATGTGTACCATACACGGTCAACTGTAAGCCAAAAAAGTTACCCTAGATACAGGATTGGGAGGCAGAATAATGGCAGCTGATAAAAGATGCTGATATTTGTTTTTTCCCTAAATATCACATTAACACATGAATGTTCAAATAAATTAATGTCCCATTCATTCTATGTAGTTTGACATATCGATGATAGTGTGTGACTTGTACAATAAAAATAGAAATTTTATCATGTTTTTAAACCAGTAAATATTGAGAAATTGTGAGGTTTCTCTTCTCTTCTGTTTTCTGTTATATTGTAAACACAAACAAGGAAATACAAACTTTTTAGACCTCATACTAAGCTTTGCCCTACTAGCTCTATGTTTTCTTCCAGTTGTGGCTCAGCCTGGAACTCTATGACGAACCTGTCACCAAGATTTAAAAAGTAGCAAGACGAGATTATTCTCTTATAGCCTAGAGATTAGCATGTGAACCAATCAGAAAACGGACGTGTGCAGTTAACTTCCACTATCAAGTTTTTATGAAAAACTTGTCTCAAAATCAAGAGAGGACAGGGTAGCATTATAAAAGTAGGTGTGGATAAAATGTGGCATCTAACGCTAGGAAATTATACATGTGTCCACACAAACACAGAAATATAAACTTTTTAGACTTCATACCAACCTTCACTCTACTAGTTCTTTCAGCACACTGCTTATGTCCTGATAGCTCATAGCCCTGTGTACAAATTAATGACATTCAAATGAAGTCTGAATTTGTCTTACTCCAAAGAGAAATGAGTTATGCTAAAGTATGTTCTTGTAATTGTGATGATTCAAAAAACTAAGTCTTAGCTTGTAGAAAATTATGGTGTACCTGGAACACCTGTTTCTGGTTCTATTGGAGAAAGACAGATGACTGGGATGCTGTCCAGCAAAGAACATCTGAAATAAGCAAATATAAAGCAGTTTTTATCAGAAAAACTGGGTAAAAAATATATTGAAACTCTTTGGTATGGAAGATGGAAGCTAAGAGGCGAATGTCAAGGGGACATGATCTATACAACTTTGAACAGATATGGTTCTTAATGCCCAGGATATCAGAACTAGTGTTAACCTCCTTAACCTTCGTGGCTTTAGCTGTACTAGTCCAGTCCTCTGAGAAGCAGATCTTGAGAGGGGAGTAAACATACAAGAAAAATTTTAAGGGAAATACCCATGAGAGAAGATGGGGAAGGAATCCAGACCAAGATGTAAGTCTGACCCCAAGGGAGGGGAGGAAAGAAGCAAAGAAGGAAGGAACGAACCAATGAACAAACAAAGGAATGAAGGAACAAAAGAAGGAGGGGAGGAAGGAAGGAAGGTTGGAAGCATCTAGACTGCAGTTTAGTTCTAAGGAGAGTTGGGTGAGACCTCTGAGTCCTCAAGCCAAAATCCCTCATCAGTGGAGCCCCAGGTCTATCTGGAATGGGCATGCCTTAGGATTCCTGCCTCACTCAGTCATTAAGAGAGTGGTCCATGGGAGCAAAATCTGCAACAGATGTCCGAGTAGAGCATTAAGGCCCTTGATCAGTTCCAGCCCCTGCAGTCAGAGATCCGAGAGGTGCATTCTCATGGGTCCCACAAGGAAAAATCATAATCAGTCATGATCATAGTGGCTATTTATTGACAGACCACTCAGAGCTGAGCATTGCACTAGACATCCTACACATATTAAATATGATTGTCAAACAAGCAGGTAAGGTATGATTACTACCCAATTTCAGTGAGGAACTTGAAGCTTAGAAGGGCAAGTGCCTTGCCAAGACCACACAACTGGTTGGTTCAGAAGAGACCCTGGATCCATAAGGCTTCATATTCTTTCCAGAGCAAACAAATGAAAGAACATTTGCTTCTGCAATAAAAAGTATTGAATTCACTGAACTGAAACCGAAAGGTTGAGTGTTTTAAAGTATAAACAAATGCTGCGTGTGTTCTGCATAATTCATAAGTGACAGGCTTTGAGACTGACACCATCTTGCTTCCCCACCAAAGGTTCCTAATCACACTAGGCCCTCAGTGGTCCCAAACAGTATTCCTCATGTCCTCTTGACTGTTTGAACATGGAGCTCAAGTATGGCTGATGAGGGACAAAGTCCAAGACCCAAGACTTCGTTGCTGTATGACTTCAGGCCATTTTTAGAGCTGCCTCAGTCATCAGTCTTCTCCTCCTGGCAATAAAGGTGATGTCTGTGAATACGTAAAACATCCAGGACAGCACTGGAGTATAGACGGCAGTCAACAAATGTGGCTCCCTTCCATGGCTTACCCTCAGCCACGCAGAGCCAAGCTTTCCTCTTTCTTCCGAAAATGCATCGATGAGGTCATTCCTCAACCTAAAATCCTCTGACATCTTCCAGTTGTCTCTAGCAGGGATTTCAGAGTCTTACTCTGCATAACCCCACTTGCATGCCCCATGTACTTGCTCTGTGACTAGACCCCAATTCCCCAGGTGGGGCAGGAGAAAGGGAGCAGGTACTTACGCCCTGGATAATGGTGTGAGACCCTCAGAGGCATGGACTGTGTGGTGAGAAAACACTCATCTTCCAGGGAATGAGGCTACAGTCCTCATGTCTCCTTTGAGAATTTCCAATCCTAAGAATGAACTCCAAGTCCTTAGCAATGGCCTAAAACTGCATTCCCATTGACCAGCACCATAGAGCCTGGCTGGACCATTGCAATCCTTGCCCCCTGGCCTGTGCTGATTTCTTCCTTCTGCTTGGCAGCCTCTTTCACACTTTCCTCCTGTACTTGGGACAAAAATGGTTCACCCATTTCAGTGACACTTTCACTCACAGCCTCGGGCAGAACTCTAACTCCCTCTGCAGGGCCATCGCACTTCAGAGACCTGTTCCCTCATGCAGAGGTCATGGGTCAGCTGGAGGCTAAAAGGGCAGGCTCCACCTCTAGGCAGATGCATGTGGTAAAGGCTCAAATTCCAATGAACCCACTATTCTCTCTTCCACAGAATAGAAGTGAAGCCAGGCTGTGGCTGCCATGCCCATCCACATTGCCCAGGCTCACTTGAAGTTACCTGTGGCCCTGACACTAAGAAAGGTGAGCCAAGATCTGGGGTTGGAAATGAACTCACTTGGTGGGACCCCCATGCAGTGGGTCTTCTGCATGCTCCCTTCCCTCGCCTATCTGGCTGGACCTGGACTTGGCAATGATTATCCAGTAGAACTTTCTGTGATGATGGTAATGTCCTAGATCTGTGCCACCCAATGTGGTAGCCACTGGACACTTGAAATGTGGCTAGTATGATTGACAATGGCTTGTATTGTATTTTAATCCATTTAAATGAATTAAACTTAAAATACCCTCATGCTGATAGCTGATGTTGCCAGTGGCTACAGTATCAGACATGGGAGCCCTTGGGGATGGAGGAGCAATGACATAGAAGGAACATGGGTCTTGGAATGCCCAGTGGGGCAGAGCTGTCCCCAGAAAAATGGACTACTTACCCTAGAACTGTGGTGTAAGAGAGGAAAAAGCCGATATTTTTGGGCAGGGACAGTATGGCACAATAATAGTCAGAGCAGGGATCTGGGCTCACATTCCGAGTTCAAATTCCAGCTCTGCCACAAAACAGCTGAGCAACTTGGGGCAGGTCCCTCAACCACTCTGTGCCTCGGTTCTCTCATCTGTATAATAAGGGAAATAACGGGCTCTTTCTCGTGGGGTTCTTGGGAGGAGTGAATGAGGTGATGGGGGACATTGCTCACCACAGTGTCTGGCCCATGTTAAGGCTCAGGACGTGTAAGTGCCTCTAGAGAACACCCCACCTTGTGGTGTAGGGAGCTGCGTAGGGCTCTTTCCTGCGGGGGTCTCCAGAATAGAGGCTCATTTATCATTTTGCCCCTCAGTAACTAACACAGTGAAGATGCCAAACGAATGTTTATTGGGTGAATGAATGAATGGATAGCTCCTCTAGTATTAGTTTACCTGAAAACTCAGTGCTTTGTGTTGCCTCTGAGACTCCCCTGGACGTCAAATCCCAGTGGCACTCTAATAGCACTTCCTAGCAGGGGCACTCTGTCCCTTCCACCCAGATCATCCCCAGGGACAACAGCCTTTGGAAACTAGTAAAAGTTTCTTTGTACCCTCAGCCCAGCACAAAGCTGGCCAGGATGACGCATTCGAGCAGGCCGTTGGCAGGGGACCCCTCAGGGTCACTCTCATCAATTCCTGGTTATTATATGCATGTTCCTGAGAGATGCTGGAAAGACATGGTAACGTGTGGCTGGAAACTAAGGGCACTGGCAGACCCGGCAGTGTGCCCTGACTCCCACAAGTACCTTCCCCTAAGCAGAAGCATGGCAGGAAAGCTTTGTTCAAGTGCTTGCTGGAAAGGAGGAGGGTCTCCAATTGTACCTGTGGTCAGGGCTGGAGGAGGGGAGAGCTGGGCAGTCATGATCGCCAGAGACCCCACCTGCACACCCATCAAGAGGGGACCTGAGGTGAGGGGGTGTATTAGCTGGGCAATCCAGAGAAACAGAACTAGTAGGACATGTGATTATACATAGAAAGAGACTCATTATAAGGAATCGGTCTGTGCGATTATGGAGGCTGGCCAGTCCCCTGCTCTGGCACCTGCAAGCTGGTGGCCCACCGGTGGTGTAATTCAGCCCCATCCCCAAGGCCTGAGAACCAGAGGAGCCAGAGGTGCAAGTCCTGCCCGAGTCCGAAGACCTGGGAGCCAGATCCTGATGTCTGAGGGTGGATGATGGATGTCCCAGCTCAGCCAGAGAGCAAACACCCTTCCTGCACCTTTCTGTCCTGTCCAGGTCCTCGGACTGCACAGGGCCCACAGGTGTTAGTGGGGCTGACCCTCTTTGCTCAGGCTACAACTCAAATGCTAGTGTGTGCTGGAGACACCCGCACAGCCACACCCCGAAATAGTGTTTCACCAGCCATCTGGGCATCCCTCAGCTGAGTCCCATAAATTTGACACATAAAATTAACCATAATGAGTGGGGAGGCACAGATGTGGAACCCTATATTTGTTTTTACCATATTCTCCTTTTTCACCCTAGGGCAAGGGGGGAAATTTTACAGGGGTTGTGGGGGAGAAATGTCTAGAAAAGTTCGTGTGCCCTGGTAACTTACATTCCAGTGGGGAAGATGCACAGCTGCCATCATCCACACACAGAGCAGGTGATGGCTTGCCTTGTCAGTGCACGTGCAGTGCTCCCTGGGAGCTCCAGAAACATGCCAGGGCTGGTGCAGCATGGAGAAGGGAGCCTGAGGTCCCCCCTCAGTGCAGCTGGGCCAGCCAGCGGTGGAAGGGCTATGGATGTGAACCCCACCCCACCTGCCTTCTCCAGGGCAGGCCCAGAGACAGGTGCGGACCCGGGCTGGCATTCACAGGCCTAGCAAATAGATGGTACACTAGAATTATCTGTTGCTTGAGTTTATGCTGCTAGTGTTCTCTCTTAAGTCTTGGAATCCAGTGTCTAGAGAGTCAAAACGAGCAGTTAAAACTAAAATGGATGTGAGCTTTCAAAGTTATTAAGTTCATCCTTTGTACCTCTCTCTCGCCAGAAAAGTCTCTAAAGAAAAAGGAGACTTGTCTTCTGTGCTAGTGGGGAAAAGATGCTCAGACATGCACACAGGCCACTTACCCCTGGCCTTGGGGGAAAACCTCCCTGTGGAGGGAGAGGTGCTGTGTGGCAGGAAGAGACAAGCAGGCTGGAATGGGGAGAAGGAGCTGCTTTCCAGGCAATTTTAACTTCAGAAGAGGAAGAGCTGAATGAAAGGCAGCAGGAGGGGCTGGAATGCACCTCCCCTGCTTCTGTACCTTATCAGCCCGAGTAAAATGATTCTTTACAAGGGTTGCTGCTCTGCCAGGTACTGTTTGGACATGTGACGCGCTGTCTGTGGTGCTCCCCACATCTGAGAACCACTGTCGTTTCCTGTGGCTGCCAACGCGGTGCTTCTAAGACCATAGACTCACTCTTTTGGATCCTGGAGGCCAGACTGTGAAATGAACCTGACGGGCGAAGATCAGGGTGTCCGCGGGGCCGCCTTCCTTCTGGAGCTTCAGAGGAGGATCTGATTCCCCGGCTCCTCCAGGCCCTAGAGGCTGCCCATGTCCTTAGCTCGCAGCCAGCTCCTCATCTCCACGCCCGCAGCTTCATTATCCTGACCTCTGCTTCTGTCTTCACACCTGCTTCCCTGCCTCCATGCCTCCTGCCTCTCCCTTCCAGTTCTGGAACCCTATGATTGCACTGGGCCCACCTGGGTAACCTGAGATGGCCCCCCTACTGTGAGGTGCAGTGATCACCAAGCTGACCCCACCTGCTACCTTAATCCTCCCTAAAAGTCTCCCATGTAACCTAACATACAGATTCCAGGGATTAAGGCATCTTTATGGGCCACCATTCTGCCACCATGGGAGCATTATGAGCCCATAGTAGGTGTGGGACATCTCTAGTTCCAGGCTGGCTAACAACTCAGCCCCATTTCCCCTGGCTGCGGCTGAGTCTCATTTGGCTGAGAACCTGTTCCAAGCTGGATAATGCATAATCACCATGAGACTGTCCCACATAAGAGTTTTCCCCCAAAATGCCAGTAGCACCCTCTTGAGAAACACAGCGAAAGCCTTGCTTTATGTGTGGCCACTTAGTAGAGATGGTAGCTTAGCTTTGCATCTCAGGGTGCCTCTGAATTTATAAATACAGCAACAAGAAAGTTAAAGAGGAAGAGACACAGAAAGAAAAGGGAGGCAGACCTCTGTGCCACCCTTCAGTGACCACTGCAGCCCCTCTCATGAAGAAGCTGGAAAGCCAGGGTTACCATCCCAGACATCCCACATAAGACAATGTCCCCCGTGAGACATGGGCACACAAGACCTCCATCTAAACTGAGTCCAGTGGGGAGGAAGGTGGTGTGAGTGAGGCTTCCACACTGCTGAGCCTTGAAGGAAAAGCCTTAGAGTTCCTGGTGGCTTCCTGGGTCATCCTAGTCTGCCATAGTGGCTTAGCCTTCCCTTCCAAGACAAAGTAGGGCTTCTGGGAGTTGGGGTGCTGGTTCTGAGACGTCAGGCCTACTGCAGCCCTTCTATAGGTTGCTATGCACTGCATTCAGTCACTTTCTGCATATGCCACCTGGAGGACATTTACAGCTGAGCCCTGACAGGGACGAGGTCCCCACCACAGGACATCATGCAGATAATAGCTACTTCCAACCTTGTATGTATCCACTGACATCTGTAAGATACACAGAACAGGAGAGCCCCATTTACCCTGGCTGCATCTGAGTCTCATTCGGCTGAGAACCTGTCCCAGGCTGGATAACACATAAAACAGTCTCCCCACCATAAACTCGTGGCGATAGGACACAAGAAACTCGGGTCACAGGGTCTGCTGGCACACCCCCTACCTCTCAGCTAATAGACTTTTCTCATCAGCAGAGCAGGGGGGCAGTCTTTGGGTGAGATAACACCCCGTGTGGGAGGACATCCATACTGCAGCACTGAGACAGCAGAGGGCAAGGCAGGCCACCACCCCAGGCACCTCCCTCTGTCACCTGCTAAGTGGGGCCCAAGGCACAGAACCAAGCCTCTTTGACCTTGATATCTCCTCTGAAAACTGGCATAAGGCCACATGGCAAAGATGTTCTGAGGCCCACCTGTGAAATTGGACTGTGGCTCCACATTCCTTATGCTCAATTCCATGTCCCAACGTGTCCAAAACCCTATGGGTGTGGCCATATCATTCAGCAGCATAATCTAAGCTGACCGAGGACCAGTTACAATTTTTCTGTATATGATAGGGTTTGTGTATTTACACATTTCTCTTCAGATAATAGAAATGAATTTGGTTCCCAGGTGCCGCCCCAGACCTACGTATAACATCCTCCTGCACCATTTTACAATACACTGGCTTGCACCATTTAACCAATTGTTTTGGGGGTTCTCCAGAGAAATGGAACCAACAGGATGGATGGATATAGAGATGATAGATAGACAGATGTAGATAATTCTAAGGAATTGGCTCACATGATTGTAGGAGTTAACAAGTCCCAAATCGGCAGTAGGACCGTAGGCCTCAGACCCAGGGAAAAGTTGGTGCTTCAAGTCTAAAGGCAGATTCCCTCATTTTCTGAAAGACCTCAGTCTTAGTCTCTTAAGACCTTCAACAGATTGGACCAGGCCCACCCACATCATGGACTTCAACTGCTGTACCCAAACTCTAATGATTTAAATGTTAATGTCATCAAAAAATACTTTCACAGAAATATTTAGAGTAATTTTTGACCAAATAACTGGGTGTTGCAGTGCAGCAGAGGTAACACGTAAAATTAACCATCACAACCATATTATTTACACAACTCAGAAAAATTGAATGCTGACAGTTTGGGGACACCTTGGGGTTTTGGACATGGTCAGCTGGTTCTGTGAAGCAAGAGCACAGTGTCTCAGGTCAGTGCTGTGAGGGCAAAGGACCTTTGTCCACATCCAGCATGGAGCCTCCAAGGGGCCTCTGAGGGTCTGACCTGGGTGACGGGAGCTCAGCCCTGTAATAGTGGCCCTGCTGCAGCTCAGTGCATGGGAGAGATGCGCAGGAGGGCAGCTGGAGACGGGAGGGAATGCCAGGGGCTGAATCAGAGGCCAGGGAGGGGTTGCTTGTGACTCGGGGGTTCCAGCTAGAATGCTCGGCAGAGAGCGGAACGATGGACACGGCAGAAATCCCGGAGGAAGCCATTAGGGGAGCACGTTTCTAGCCCTGTTGGGGTGCGTGGGAATGCCCAGCAGGCGGTGGGCGGAGGGAGGGGCGCTGAGCGTCAAGGTCGTGGCGGAGCCTTGGGGAGAGGGGTTTAGGAGACACAGGGATTACAGGCCATAAATGCCATATCCGGTGTAGTCGTCAGGGGAGGACGTGGGCTGAGCCCCGGGGCTCAGGGCTAGGTCTGCAGCAGACCCAGAACAACAGAGGGTCTGGAGAAAAGGCAGCTGAGAGGTTTCAAGTGACCAGGAGAGGCAGGAGCTGGAGGGGTGGGAGAGGGCAGTGTCTCCCGCTGGGGAGCCGGGCTAGGGACAGGCCTCCCCTGGAGAGCAAGGTTGGGGCGCTCAGTTTGAGGGGGCTGCCCTGGCCCTTCTCCAGCAGCACAGGGCACGGGAGCAGCACGGCAGGAGGGTCTGGAAAGGTCTAGCGTGGTGTTGGGCTGTGCACAACACGGGCAGCCTACCCGCAGCTGGGTGGTGAGGACTGACGCCAGCCTCTGTGGAGCCACCTGCCCGCCAGCCTGGGGCCCCCTCACTCACTAGCTCCTTCACTCCCCACTGCGGCCTCCTACCCATCCTCTGCCCTGGTCAGATGAAGGACACCGGCTCTCCGTAGTCTGACTGGGTGCTGCCCAGGGAGCTGGGCAGGGATGCAGTGCCACAGTGCAGGACCTGCCAGGCCACCGGCGTGGATGGAGCAGCCGGTGCCGAGTCAACTTCACAGGGCGTCCTGTTTCACGTAGATGATCTTCCCAGTGGGGTCCATGTGGCTCCCAAGAGACATGCCATAGTCTAGCCTGAAGCCTGTGAAAGTGACCTAATGTGGAGGAAAAAAAACAGCCTTTGCAGATAGAATTAAATTAAGGATTTGGACATGAGGCGTTCATCCTGGGTGGACCCTAGACCCAGTGACAAGTGTTGTTACATGAGACAGAAGTAGGAGGAGACCATGAGAAGAGAGGGGCAGAGGTGGGGCGCGGCTGCCAGCTAGGAACGTGGATCCTCCGGAAGCAGGAAGAGAGAGGCAAGAAAGGGGCTTCCTGGAGGCTGCCCACCTTGACTCCGGACTGGAAGCTTCCAGAACTGAGAAAACTAACATTTTGTTGTATTGGGCCAGCCAGTTAGTGGTAATTTGTTATGGGGGTAATAGGAAACGAACACATTCACATCAAAGCCATGTAGAGTGTCCCAGAGCCCTTGCTGAGCTCATTCCCAGACCTGAACATCACTGTCCCTGCTACCACCCTGAGGCTTCCAGGAGGCCAGGCCTCCAGAAAGGATTCCAATTTCCACAAGCAACAGGGATGCCAAACAGAAGCACTCAACTTGGAATGTCCCTCTAGGAGGTCTGAGTGTCAGGGCATCTGCTGTTGTGCCAGCAATCAGATTGGCGGGGTCTTCCCCAGGGTTGGCCACTCAGCAAGAACAGCAGGGCTGGGACTGAGGGGGGGATTTGCTCTGCCGCGAGCATTTGCTACATTTTTTGTAATGTGCAACTTTTACTAGTGTTATTTAAACCCATTCTAATCACCTGAAATAAGTTTTTGCCTTCAAGGAGATGAATGTCCAAGCCCTTCTGCTTCCTGCCACCCACAAGTGGGACACAAAACCTGCCCAAGACACCGAAGCTGGAGCACAACACCCCCTCCCCACACAGGATGTCATGGCCCCCTAGCCCCTTGTAAGCATGTGCCAGTAGCTACCCCAGTAAAGACTTACCCCAGTTAGAAGAGTCGGCTCTTGGCTCATTCCAATGCCAAACCTTTTCCAAATCTTAGATGGAAATCTAATAACTTGTTAGCTGTGCAGCATTGCTAAAAAGCTATCATAAAAATAGTGTTACAGGTCTATTCATGCAGTCTGCTGTCTGAATTATGTATATACATATTCACAGCAAGAACATGGTCGCCCCAAGAGCTGTGGTTTCTTAGCCTGTATTCTTTACATGATAATCTCTAGGCTGTTGATCTGAGTGTAATATATCTCACAAGCATAGTCATCCCAGAAATTATCCAGCTTTGGTTCTGATTAAAAGTATAAGTAACATTTTTTTTTTGCATAATCATGACAGTAAGTTGAACTGAGAAATGCCAGACCACTAAATTCTCAAAGGACTTTTGTACTTAACACATAAAATAAACCACTCTGATCAATAATCTCTTCTAAGGTATGTATTTCATCGTGGCTCCTGTAATCATGGCAGGCTTTTACCATTTCATATTTTCCAAGTAGCATACAAATTCTCATTCCTTGAGAGGATGAATTAACACTTCTCAAAGCTTAGCATTGTTAATAGATCCCAGATGGGAGCAGAGCCTTCCTTTTTTTAAGCTACCAAGTATTAAGGAACCACTACATGGAGGCATTTTTACATGCGTTACTGTAATTAATTTTAGAAATCCGTTTCTCCTTTTATTACCTGGTGCAGCTCCTTGGCCTCATTTTATATTCTCTTTTCTCTGTAATGTGTTCTTTCTTTACAGGGTCCCTCTGGGTGGAAACAGTGGTTCTCCACACACAGGTATGCCAAAACCTCTCCTAAGTGCTGAGCTTGCCAGACTCCCAGCTGATTAATTGCTGTGAGCTGGTTCCCAGTGAGCCATGGTCAGTTCACTCATGCGTAACTCAGACACAGCCCAAAACGTCCTCTCAGACTGTGTCCTGGAGTGGGGCGTCACAGGATGCCCAGGCATGTGTATATGTGTAAGTGTGTGAGAGTGTGGTATGTAGATTTGGTGTGTGTGTGAACGTGTATACATGAGTCTACCAGTGTGGGGGGGGGGGAGGATGGGAGTGTATGCATGTGTGTGTAGATTAGAGTGTGTGTGCACAAATGTGTGTAGATATGAAGGTGTGTACATATTGATGAGGATATTCAGAGAGACACAAAACACTTGCATGGAGAAGAACCTTTAACCTTAAAGTTTTTTCTTTACTCAACAGCAAGGTGGTAAACCCACCTTGTTGACGAACACCTTGGACATCTAGAAATCAAAGCAGACAAGAAGTCTACATCCCAGGAGAGACTGTGATGGGGTGTGAGCTCAGAGTCCTGAGGATCTCTTGCAACACTGAAGGCAGCCCACATCCTCAGGGTGTGAGCAGGAACAACAGGGAATTTCTCCGGATTGGGGTGGGGGCGGGAGGCAGGAGAGACATCAAGAACTTGGAATTAGGAACCCAAAACTCTAGTCTGGATCCCAGAAGCCCACATCTGCTAGACCAGGGCAATCTGACAAAGGACCCTTTGTTGTTTATTGTGTACATTTTGACAATTTTTGTCCAATAATATACTGCACAAATGAAAACTCAAATAGCACAGAAGGACTTACAAAGAGCAACCACTCCCTGTCCCACCCCCGTTTCTTCTCTTCTGGCGGTTACCACCAAGGCTTTCCAGGATGTGCTCACATTGGCATTAATTCATTGCCAATTTAGGTATTATACATTGACTTCACGTTTGAGATCTGAGGGTTCAGCTGGATGGTACTTAACCACTGCTCCCCACCAGGAACCTCACTACCTTTGGTTTTCCTGTGGTTCCCTTGCAGTTTTGCGTCATGCATTCTCACTCCTATTCCATCCGGCATAAGCCATATACACCCTGACTCTCAAATGCATAAGCTCCTAGGCCCTTTCCCAGAGGGCCTTTCAGTGCCTCACCTGTAGGCTTAGCTCTAAATGTTATAAAGCAACCAACAATGTTTATCTTCCTAAGATTATGAAAATATCTTTATGCACAGCCAGATAGCATGCTTTGGTTTCATTTATGCTATTGTACTGTCATTGCTTTTCCTGGAGTTTCTAATGTATTTTAAGGATTTGCCTTCTTCACATCATTTCTTCTTCTTTTTTCCCAAAACTCTGCCATATTTGTTCTATCAGTCCAGTCTTCCTTTCCCCCAGAAACATCCCCTAGGAGCTCCCCATGCCCCACTCCCAGCTGCTTCCCAGGCCACACCTCTGTTCTTGAAGGTACCCTGCTACAGGCAGGACCCACTTCCTCTGCTGTCTTCTTTTTTCTTGCTTTGCTTAAGTAAAAACTAAGTAACATTTAATGAAAGAATACTGGCACATGGGATTTTTGAATCTGTACACATCTGAAATGTTTTTCATCTTGCCTTTATACTTTATGCTTTGATAGTTTGGCTGGGTAGAGAATTCTTGGTTCAAAGTCATTTTCTTTCAGCATTTGGAAGACACCACTCCATCACTTTTTAGCACCCACAGTTAGTACCAAGAGATCTTACTTCAAACTGATTCTTATTTCCAGAAAGATCTTTTCTACATCATTGATTCTCTGAAATGTTAGGAATGTTCAACATGGGCAGAAAAAGCAGGGAATTTCCCAGTGGGGAATTTCCCAGAGTCCTCAGGTGTCTAAGCCTAGGTCTTCTCATTCATGACCCTTACAACTCTGGATTTTTTCAGTCTGAACAGTTTGTTCTTTAATTCTGGAAAACTCCCAAACTCTCTTTTTTATATAATACCTTCCTTTTATGGACTCCTATTAGTCACATAGCAGGCCTCATACATTGTTCCTCCAGGTCTTTTGTTTTTCCTCTTAGACATCCTATCTGTTTATTGTCATTCTCTTATCTGGGAAGTTGTTTCAATTTTATCTGCCAATCTTGCACTGATTTGTTTTTTAAATCTGCAATTATCTTCTATTTCAACAGCTTTGTCTTATCCTCTGATTGTTCCCCCACCCTTTTTAAAAAAAATCCTTTTCTTGCTTAACAGAAGCAATATGGCTTGAATCTCTGAGAATACAAAATAGTGGGGGCTTTTTCATTTCACACACACACACACACACACACACACACACACACACACACACACACAAGTTGCTCTTTTGTCTTCTGGATAAGCTCCATTTGCTTTGGTGTATTTCTTTCCTTTTGTGTCCTTTCTTTGTTCCTGTTCACACAGCTTGGGCTTTCCAGTCACTGACAGGGCCCACCTCATCAACTGGTCTCCATTTACCCATTCTCCGTTAAGCACAAAGCTGTCTGTAAACTCAGAACATGTACACGGAGCTTGTTCACTTTGCCAGGCTGGGGATGGTGGGAGGCAACCATTATGTTTTAGGGCCCCTGAATGCAAGAAGACAGAGCGTGTTGCTTGGGAAACCAGTTCCCACAACTGGCTGAGTTCTTTCCAGACATTTCACTGAATGTCTTCAGAAAGCAATGATACTTGAGGGAAGGGAAGTGGATGAGGTTTGGGGGTTTTTTGTGTTTTCTGTTGTTATTATTGCTGTTTCTGCTGGGAAATAAATTCCCGGGGACAGGATAGTTTTCCTGGGAGAGAGAAGAGTGACCCTTCGAAAAATACAGCATGTCCTGCAATCATTTCAAAATCCCTTACAATAAGGAGCAGGGAATTGAGTCAGATATTCCTGAGAGGTCAACAAAACCAGTGGAATTCAAACCCAGGCAGAAAGCCATTCTGGCCTTCCTAGGTCATGATGATGCTAGTTCCATAGATATTTTTGATGAGCACAAAACCACAGTGCTTTCCAATATACAAATATTTTGCATTCAAACGAAGCAGAACTCTTCAATCACATCAAAATGGGAATGTCATTTGTCTTCAGATGCATGTTTCTGCCACTCCTGGTTTTCCCTTGCTTCTTGACCACTTCTCAAATTACATCTGAAACCAGATAGTGTGCAATCTTAAAGGGGGAAATGCTTTAGTAGTCACCCAGTTTAAGTTTTAATTTTAGAGATGAAGAAACTGAAGCCCAAGGAATTTTTTAAAGTGCATTATCAAAGGTCACATGACCAGCTGGTGGGAGGAATGCAAAAGGATAGACAAGTCACAGAGTTGGGACGAGAAGACCTGCGTTTGGATGGGCCAACCCAGTATTGGCTGGGATGTGTTTCTGGTAGATTAATTAATATATGAACATTCCTGATGGCAGAAATTTTGGATGTTCTAAATCCCAACAGATTCTGCAGCATGTCAAAATTATCGGAGCAATACAAGCTTAATATTCCAGTTGTCAGGGAAAATACCCCTGGGCACATTTGCATAAATCCATTCCAACCTTCAGTGTCTGAATGTTTAGGTTTAACTTCCACCACCGGTTCACCAACACTCTTCATGGAGCTCCCAGACCCGGTTGAGAAGTATCTGGAAAGGGGTCATAGATTTGAAGAATCATTATGTTTTAAGATTCTTAAGAAGCCATAGAGATTATCCATCCTGATATCTTCATTTTACAAAGGACAAAACATATAAATAGCTTCACCGAATTCACACAGTGAGCTAAATGACAGAGGCCAGAGATACCGTGGATGGGGCCTTCCCAGGCTGATACTTTTCCACCCACTCTGCCAGGTCACCAGCAGGATGCCGTCCACAAGCCAGTCTTGTGGGTTTCAAACCATAAGAATCCAGAATAAATACTCGCTGATGCATTCCCCAGGACTGTTTATTCCAGATGCATGTGGACCACTAAAAAAAAAAAATGGAACCACAAACATCTCTGCATGTTAACATGCTTCTAAAGGAGACATGTGGCTGTATGTTAATTAATGATTTTTAATATCATTCTGGTAGTGATTAGCTCCTTTGAGTGCTTCTTAAGATATTAAAGATGGAAATTTCCTCAGACCAGCTGCTTTCAGAAATTATTTTCATACCCTTTTCTCAGAAATCTACTTCAGATTCCAAAGCTTTTTGTACACATAAAAATTTACTTCTTTTCTATTACTAACTTCTCTCTCCTTAGCTTGGAGTGAAATATAGTAGGAAATAAGCTGATGCTTGCAGGTATTAATTTAATTTGGGGAGATCATCTTATCTTTGGAGTGTTTTAATGAAGCCATATATTTAGTACACATTTATATGAGGCATTTATTCCACAAATAATTTTTAAATTTTGTTAAGTTTAAAATAAGTGTTCATCAGGATACATATTTTCAGTGAGAAATATCTATCTCCCAGACCAACTGGTACACACAAGGTACCACTTCCATCCATCTGGCACCTCCCACAGTTCCATTTTGACACAAGTGGTTATAGAGCAGGACTGCATTAGCGACTGGGAGGGTGAAAGCTGCCCGTGATAACAGATCTCTGCATTGTCCTGTCTATTTATTTCCACTCAGTATTCTTTGGAAGCAATTGGATATTGACAAACTGTGAGCGGGAAATTTCTAGATATAAGAATAACAGGGCAGGAGGGTGGAGATGGGGATCCACACCATCCAGATGTTATTTCAGAGGCCAGCAGAGGCTGGCATCTCCCTGCACACACAGTGGACATGTCACTGCCCCCAACCCCCCTGTAATGCTCATCTTCACCCTCATGGGTGGTGGCCTTAGGAGTCACTTGTCCCCCTCTGAGCTTTTGTGAAAGGAGACACTTGGGCAAAATCCCCCAGGATGATCTCAGCCCCAGCTTTCCATGTCTTTATGTCAAAATAAACACTTTTTATTTTCCTGTGGAGTGTAGTTCAAGAACAAACCACTTACAATGTCCTCTCTGGCGCTAGCAGCAGTTTTTAACTGAAGCCTGCAGAGTTCTTTACCAATGTGCCGAAGGCATTTCACGTGGCACAAAAGTTGGAAATTCAATATGTCTTCGTGAGAAGTGCATTAAAAATCTCTTAAAAACACTCACACCAGCTTCAGTCCTTGTATAACCCAGTCATATTTTATCTTGACTCGTGATGTTGACAGTGAATTATAAATACTAGGAGAGTGAATATGCATGTCCAGTTATATAATGGAGGTGGATAACATTGTTTAAATAAATAAGTGCATTAGAAACCTCATGCACAACCCATGCACATATAGCAGCACTTGGAAGCTGATATGGTGACCCTTTCTTTGTGGCAAAGGCACTGTGAGCAGGAAGCCCTGTAATAAACACAGTTTCGCCTTGTCTGAGTCCCAGTCCATAGACGACCCGTCTCAGCCATCCTCATAGTTGACAATGTAATAGCTGACTGCAGAAATACCAGAATATGACTTGTAGACCATGCCCTGCTGGCTGGGGCCTGGGTACCCTCCCCTCAAGGTCACAGAGCTGTGGTTACCTCTGCTTCTCAGCAAGGACACGCCCAAAGAGTCATTCTGGTCCTGGCCTCCAGCCACTCCACAATTCCAGTGGCTCCCGGAATGCCCGTTCTGAGCCAAAAGCTTTCCTGGAAAAATACAGGTCAAACCTATGGCGACTGCTGCATGGGCAGTGACCTGGTTCAGCAGGACGGCAAATGGCAACGTCAGGCAGGGGCCATGGAGGGCAAAGAGCAATGGCATCCATTCTTCCTCTGCATCTTATAACTCTCCCTGGCCTCGATTTTGTTCTGTGTTCACAGAATTCTGTTTTAAAGAAGGATGTAGGATCTAAAAAGAAAAGAGTATTTATTTTAACATCGATCTGGAAAACTCTTGGGAATGAGTGCAAAGTCACATGGAAGAAGGCTGGGTGTTTTCAGATGAAGAAGCAAACAAAATTCTGAGCACAGATACCCAAGCCCTCAGGCATGCCTGCCAGGCACAGCCCTGCACCCTCTCACCCCACAGCACCCACCCAGCCGTGGCCACTCTGCTTAACCATCTGGCAGAACAAAGCACCAGCCATGGTGGGGAAGGACGCAGAGGAACATGTCAGCTCCCCGATAAAACAGGAGAGGGTATAATGAGATCCCGGAGATGCAATCAGTCAACCCCACAGCCTCTGTGACTTCAGATGCTCACAGGTCTCACCAGAAAGTTCATTACTTCTGCCCATCGGGGTGGCCCCTCTGAAGACTGCACATGGCCATATATAAAGCGGATTCCATTCAATATTCCAAATCCAGAGCAAGCTGATTTAAGAAAAGCAACCAGCCCAGACTAGCAGCATTGACCAAGGAGTGAGCAGAGCTGCCACACTGGACCTTGGTGACAGTGACGCAGCAGGGCAAAGCCCGCAACATCATCGGTCCTGAGCAGCACCAGGGCACACATCCTGCCCCCTGTCCTCAGAATGTCCCCATCTTGCCACAATGAGGAACAAAAAAAAGGACATGGCAGTGTGGTCCTGGGCTGAGCCTCCCAGAGAAGTCCTGGCTTACTTGCCTTTTCTCCATCAAGGTAGCACTGGGTAAGAAGTGCGATCCCCCCGAGGCTAAGAAGCACCTCCAGTCCAATGGAGAGAGTCGACAGGAGATGACTATCAGAAGCAAAAGAGATTTTAAGTCAGAGGAACAAAACCCTAGACTCCCCAGGCAGAGCTCGGAGAATGACCTCCAGCCCCCAGCGCTGTTTTGAGAATGCTGCTGCTCTTCTCACACGAATCCCAGCAGGAAACAATGTACCTGAGAAGGCTGGGCTTCCAGTGATATGGCTCCCAGCACCTGTAACTGAAATAACTGATCAAGACCTAAAGGGGATTTGAACTATGACTCCACCCCACCTCCCTGGCCATGGCCCTTGAAAGACAGAAAGCTCTGTTAGTCGAAGCACTCAGGAGTGAAGACATAATAAATGATCCACGCAAGCAGGCATTTGAAAATGACAGCAGAGACCTAAGAGGGAGTTTAACAATGTGTTTATGACAGGCAAGTTTGAACATGCAGGGTTGGAAAGATAACATTTCTCAACTGCTTCTTTAATTATAGCTTTGAAAGGGGAGGCTGTCATTCCCATCTTCATTCAGGAAACTGCCTGGTGATGTCTCTGTTAATTATGACTGGTTATGTTTCGTCAAGGAGGGTCCTGAGAGCCCGGCCTTCTGGTAGGGCTGGGGCCAGGGCAGAGCTGGTCCATGGAGCGGACAGCGCAGCTCCACAGAGGAGGGCACCCTGCTCAGACCACCAGCCCCCTCTTGCCTTTGATGAGGATCACTGCACCAGGCCATTCTCACAGCACCAGCTCCCTGGGCACCACCACCAACAGTCATCATGGTCTTTAATATGACTGCTGGGGAGCTGTCTGAGCCACTGACGCTCTTGCCATCTCTCATTTGCAGAGGTGTATGTTCAGGGAAAAGCCCTGCTCAGGAGAATTCCAAACACTCCCCCTCCAGTGGGTGGGACTTTGTGCCACCCCTGTCCCACCTGAATGTGGCTTGACTTCATGACTTGCTTCCACAGCACAGAGTATGGAAAGGGGAGAGAGTCACGTCACAGGGGCAGGAGAAACCTGGCAGACCCCACCTGAGCCCAACAGTCAGAGCTGCTGTGCCCCGTGATGCCACGTCCACGTTAGGTGCCCTGATATGACACATCACAAAGGGACCATCACCTTTCTGGTTTCTTCTCAGAAATCCCACCAAGCCCCAGTGTGAACATCAGAAGGATCTCGGAGCAGCCACAGGAGTCCAGCCAATGGCAGAAATACAAGAAACAGCTAGTAGACAGGGACCCGCTCACCAGGGGCCAAGAGCCTCCCGTGTGCCTCAAACCCGTCAAGGTCATTAAAACAATGGAAATCTGAGAAACCATCATGAAACAGAGGAATCCAAGAAGATGCACAGCTAACATGCAGCATGCTGCCCCGGGCAGGATTCTGGACCCAAACAGGCCTGAGCGGGGAAACAGCACAGAGCCAAGCGAAATCTGATGGCTGGTCAGCAGTAATGTCTGAGCTGTGGTCTCGTCGGACTTTAACATCAGGGGAACCTGGGTGAAGAGCAAATGGGATGGAGCCAGAAGCAGGCATGGGCAGGTGAGGCTTCTCATGCAGATTTAGGGAGGCACCGACTCTTAGGGTCCTGTTCATGCCAGTCCTGCATGCTCTGTGTGGGAACTCTGCGTTCTGTCTTTGCAACTCCGCTGTAAATCTAAAATTATTCCAAAATAAAACGTTTATGAAAGAAAAACTCTCTGGTTGGAAGCATGCAATATCCTCAGGAGAGTATGCAACAGTAGTATTCCTGGCAAAGGAAAGGGAGAATCTGGCACAATGACCAGGCAGGTCCTGTGTGTGTAAGGGTCGGCCTGTTAATACCTGCCTTCTGGGGGTAGGTGGACCTGCAGTGCAGTATGGAGCATGGAGAGACACTGATGTGAGGCAGTCCCAGCAAAGTAACTGAGGCCTAATAGCCACAGAGGAGCTCCCCAGGTCAGGTATCCACGATTAACAGTCCCCAAAGGGACTCCTCACTTGGTGCTTTATAAACTCAGTCAGGGTATTTGCTGAGGATGCTGGCCCACAGGCCATTGGAAGCACATTCACGGACTCTACTTACTGCTCACAGTCAAAGTGGGATGATGGAGTATGGATTCTGGGAAGAATCTCTACTCTAAAGAGCCAACTACCACAGCCCCAAACTAGACGGACAGCAACCCACTGGGCCCTGACCTCAGAGACCTGTGTTATTCTGGCCACACACAGTCTGGACTGGTTGGCATGGCGTCACTGCCCAGTGAATCCGTGCCTGTTGGCCATGAGGGTTCTCGGCCTTCGCTTCTGAGCCATGGTAAGGAACCACCCGGTGTTACCAGTCTCTCCCGCTGGGGAACTCCGTTCCGTGTCTGCAGGCCCTGTGAAGGATGGACGTGTTCACTGGCTGTGTCCTTAATAGATTACAGCCGGGCAGGAGGCAGGACGGATGGAGGGAGGAGAGTTAGGTTCTTTCAGGGAGAAAAGTCACCTCCTAATTGAATTGAAAGCTAAAAAAATGTCCTCCCAGTTCTGCAGTGCCACGTAACTTCCAGTGCGATACCACAAACGCCCACGTGTGG